GGCCCTTATGTTAGAAGATTTTTGATTGGGTAATGGTTTCGAGTTTTTCCTTTTATTTATATTTTTTGTGTTGGAGGGCTTTATTATCAGTTTTCATATTTTTTTCTTTTTCGCCCGATTCAAACTCTCGCTCAACTCTTGCTCCGCCTCCTCCCTCCTCTCTCAAATTCACTGCATCAGTTCTCTAGTACTGCCACCCTCCGCTCTCATCTCACTGGCTTTCCATTAAAGGTATGGAAGTTTCTGAAATTTTCTTTTTTTCTGATTTTATTTCTTTGTTTTTACTGTTTGAATAAATGGGTGTTTCAGAGTTCGTGTTTTTGGATTGTTTTAATTTAGTTTGATTGAATTTGGACTCTTTTTGGGTTTTACCATTGATGCGGCAAAGCAGAGTGTTTGAAAAAGAGGCTTAGAAAGGGAAAAAGGGAGAGGTGCATAGGTTTTTGGGTTTTACCGTTGAAATCGATGCATATCTTTGTATAAATTTCATGTCATTTACCCGGGTTTATTTGTTAATTTTGTTTTTCTGTATGATTGTTGTGTTTTGATCAAAACATACAGAGTGGAATCACATTCTGTCATCTTTCATATATTTTTTTTAAATTTTAAAATTGTGCTTCACCTTCCGTGGTTCGTTTGGTGGAAGTGCTTGAGGTTATTTTTTCTATTTATTTATTTCAAATTCGTGCTTCATCCTATAGGCTGGGAAAGTGCATGAGGAGACTATTTATTTATTTCAAATTCGTGCTTCATCCTATAGGCTGGTAAAGTGCATGAGGTATTTCATTTAATTTTAATTTTAATTTTAATTTGTGGTTTTCCGTTGAGAAAATGAAATGTGAAGACACAAACACACACAAACACACACACACACACACACACACACACACACACAAGGCTATGTAGTTTGAGCTCAACCTCTGAGGGCTGTGTTTCTCCCTGGCAGGTTATTGGGTTTTACAAAATTGTGCAATACTTTGTTCCTTCAAATTGTTCGAAGAAGTCCAAAAATGCACAAGAATAAGGGAAGAAACAAAGGGAGACCCTTTACGAGACAAACGGATAGGAAGGACCAAAACATGGACACTGATAACCAAGAAATTGCCACCGAGATCCAAAAAATGGACATGAGGAAGATTTCGAAACAGATTGAGCTTTTGGGTATGTGTATTTGTCTCTTGTTTTTCACATTCGTGATTCATCCAATATCTTTTGTTGTTTTAATGGAAGGTTGTCAACCCAAAAAAGCACCTGTAACCCTATTGGTAGCTCTGTTTGTTTAACTATGCTCTTAATTTTGTGATTCTTGCTGATACAGTGATAATATTAAGTTTATTGTGAAAACTGATAAAAAATTTGAATTATTATAAACTGATATTATTTTGCACCTTCCTTCTTGTAAAATCAACCAGCATAATATGAGAAAATAGTTGTAATGAATAGCTTAAGGATGAATGAAACTAGGTTGGTCCTACATGACGCAGACATGCTAGTTTGTAAAGGATTGGCATATAGTGATTATGTTGGTCAGTTTTGGGCTTGGATGACCGGAATTATTTAAGAAACTGTAGTGTCAAAAAGTACATTTGCTCCAGTTTTAGATTCTCAGCAGTATCTTGAAATCAATTTCAAACTTCTTGATGCACTTATGTTCTCTGTGCTGTGATTATGGATATGTGTTAGAAGTGAATGGATTGTATTTCGAGTTTATTTGAGATTTTCATTGAATCAGGAAATCAGCATTGACACCTAACAGAGTGAAGTATATGTTTGCTTATATGGCAACGATCTCTTAAGCATGTGAATATGGAGCTAGTTTCTTGCTTAATCAAGTTCTGTTGCATGTCCAGGACTGCATTCTTGCTTTTCAAGTGTATCATGGCATTTGATGGACTTAAAGTCTTAGTTTAATCAAACTACGAATCAAAAATTGACTAGACTCGAGATGCTCTAGTTGGAGAGTTAGAGTGCACCAAAGATGTTTCATAAGAGCTGTTAATCAAGAGGTTATGGAAGATGTCATACATGGTTAGATGCACTAGAATTCAAAAGGTTGGAGGGATCTTTCATGAGTTTGAACTTGATTCTCCTAAATTTACATACAGTCCTGTCTAATTAGGGTTCATTAAGAACTGAATTTGGATTCTGAAATCCATGGGTCTCATTGGTATCAAGGTGTACAGAAGATTTGGAACCTTTGAGGTGCCACAATTAAACTTGAGGCATGGTTATATTCTAGTAAATAGTTAGTTGAGAAAACTGCAATTGCGTCGTTCAGTTCAAAATGGATATAGTTGTTAACAAAATTTAAAGCATGAGGGAAAACTCCTTTACCTTATGAATGATCAAGATTTATTTACAGTGTGAAGGGGTACTATTTACCAGTTCACCTGTTACCATGGAGGTTTTTTCTCGTAATCATCTATACTAATTGTTGGTATATATTATTACTGGGAAGTGAAGAGATATTTTTGTTTATATCTTTGTGAAACAATAGTATTGCTAAAGTTTTCCTTCTTCAGAGAATGTGTACATATCTGCAAAATCATATTTATATTTTGGAAGATTCTTAGGAAGAGGTCTTACAGTAGAAAAGCCATGATGTGATGAGTAAAATATGTCTTAATCTATAATAACTTGCTACACCTTGCTTAATAAGGATGTGGGGAAATTGGATTCAACCATATTAGGTTGTGTGTGAGACATTTCATGAGCCGGGAAATAAAGTTATTTGTGTCAAAACTTGTGTCTAAAACATAGTGTCATTGATCCGCCCCCTATATATATATATATATATATATATAAAAGATAGGAAAGTATTAATGAGATATCAATCTTCATGATTTGTGCATTGAACTTATTAAGTAAGTATTGTGATAGAACAACTTCATATGTTTGAATGTGTGCCTTTTCAGTTGTGTTAAAGCTAGTTTTAGTCTGCTTTTTCACTTCAAATTTTTGCATTGCAGGTTCTTCTCATATGACATGGAAGCAAAGGAAGGAGTTGGAGAATAGGAAAGTGATTTCTCTTGGTGGAAAGGTATGGACCTTTGCCCTGATCTTATTCAAAAGTAACATATTAAGCTATGCACTGCTTTCTTTTGAGTTCTGGTTTGTTGTGGGAATGGGAAAAGGATTCACTATTGGAAAGATAAGTGAGCGGGAGAATTTCCGTAGTGCCTATTATTTCTACACTTTACAAGCTTTGTTGTCATGTACCCGTAGCCGGTTTGATAATTACCTCCTTCAATCAAAAATCTCATGTCACAATCATCATGATACAATTGAATCCTCTAGCATCTTTTGCATGTAAATCCTATTCGGGCTAGTTTATTGATGACTCATCTCCTCCTAAATTCAACCCATCCACGATGATTTGAAAGGCTAACGATGATTTGAAAGGCTAAGGTACCTCATAAGGTATAAATACTTGCTTGGATAATTGACCATGGAAAAAGTTCATACTTGAAATTAATATTAAGCTTAGAGTTCAAATGAGTTTAGAGATAGTCCATCATTTTAGCTTAATGTGGATTGAAGGGCTGATGTAGCTTATAGCAGTTAGTTTTTAAGGTGTGTTGCCTGTTATGATGATGGTTTTGTTCTGTTAATGTGGATGCGGTGGTTCCAATCGCGTTTTCAGTGGGCTGGTGATTGGCTGTGACATACCGTTGTTTAGGTTATTACTTTAGTTCAATAAAACAGATGGTGCTAATATCAGTGTAAAGCACACAGCTCATTAACAGAAATAGGACATTGGTGTCCTTCAGTTGTACACTGAGCTCCAAGTAGCACTGCTTCCTTCAACTATGGTTGTGTATTTATTCATTTGCATGCTTTCCAGTTTCCAGAAATATTCATTTGCATGCATTCCAGAAATATTCATGTGTGCTTGCCCTTGAAACAGCCTCCAAAGAAGCAGAGACTTCCTCTAAGTATAGCAAGAGTGGTAATGAAGAATCAAAAGGAAAGGGAGAAAAAACTGCTGGAACAGGTGATTATTCTCTTCCATTGCCCTTGTTGAATGGGGAAGCGTGGTCAACTTTTACTAACTCAATAATCAATCTGCATAGAATATGGTTCTTGGACGTTTTGGTGGCAATTTCAGTGGTGGTTCTAAAAGATCAATGGAGAAGCAAAGGCCTGAGAACAGGGTTCTGAAAGCTAGTGAAGGTCGCTTTAGAAATGGTGTACTTGATGTGAAGCATTTGTTACATGCAACTCCATCTAGAGACCGCAGCTCTGGTGCCCATGTGTTCAGAGAGAACAAGAAGGGAAATGGAAAGCAGAACAAAGGTAAGAAGAAGATCGGTATGGGCCCTTGAATGCATGAAGATGGAAAATCGTTTCGAACAAAAGAGCAGAAAGATTTTGCTTCTGTTTGTTCTCCTATTAGCATTTGAGCTCAAACAGATGTGTGATCCATCCTACAACTACTTGTACTGACATTAGTAATTAGCATGTAGTTAGAAAAAAATTCTTTTCTTTCTGTGTTTTTCTTCCTTGCACTTAGAAATGTTTGCAATATTCGTTCCTGAATTTTGTTTTCTACCATTTAAGGCTACTAGCCAAATGCCTATATTTCATGTGCTAAGGCATAATATAGATATGTTGCTTAACTTGGAGGAAGAATGGGAACTATCTTTATAGTTTTCTAAAATTATTTTTATGAATAGTGTTAAAAATCCAATACTGCCCGAGCCGCAGGGGCTGCCCGCCCGCCAGGGGAGGCGGAGGAAAGAGAGAGGGAAAGAGAGAGAGAGAGTTTTTAGTAATTAAACTGGTTTTGACTTCGATTCTTTTTTAATGCAAACGATAGTCTAAACTATAAGGGTGAGGAGAGTTCTCATACACAGACACATTACTAAGATGCCATGGGAGTTCAACCTCAAGTGTAGAGTGGGGAGTACATCTACTCAAGTCAACTTGACTAAGCTCATGTATGCTACTTGAGAACAATGCATAAGTTATGTATGAGAAGAATAAAATTCATCAACATATTATTAATTGTCTCTAGTCATTTTCAAATTGATAAAAAAATACATTGTATCTAGTATTTCCAACCAATGTAGTGTTATTGTCAAAATCTAGATCTCTTCCTTTAAATCTTTCCAATGCATATTTTGTCCTCAGTTTTTCATGTCATGAAATCTCGTGTAACCTACTGAGGACACGTGATCTGAAATAAATATGAATTTTAAAATAAAAAGCACCAAATATTGAGTACGGTCGCTTATGTAACTTTGTGACAATCTTCACAATTATTGAAATGGCAGATCATCTTTATTCCTCTGAAACCTTGAAAAATGTATAGGACAAAATTATGTTATTGATACCATCCATTCTTGGATCTGTTTCAAACTCAGGGTCGATATAAAAGAACACCTGCAAAAGAAAGATGTCCCTTAGTAGAATGATTTTCCCTCTAAAACAATTACTGATTCATACAACGCTACTTACAGGCATGTCAATCTGCTCCCCCGGAAGAAGGCGCTGCTCCTCGAAGCAAAAACACTGGATTTTATTGAAGTAAACTGCAGCCTGAAGAAAAAAAGAAGAATTAATTATCACTTCCGGAAAATAGATATGAAACACTTTACTGGAAAAAGGAAATCAACAATTATCTCTAGTCAAGGATTCTAAAGTGGAATGCATAAAATTCATAGAAGCAGGGCTTTCAACATACTATATTCGAAAATACAAAACTTATAAGACTATCTACAATACAAAACTTATCTCTCTGGACAACTTACTGAAATCTGAGGTTATTTAAATATGCAATACCAAAATAGTAGGCATGACTTTTTAACCAATAGAGTGAACATATGTCTAGGCTACACACTCCCTCAATCTCATAGATAGCAACTTTACCGCAAACTTATGACCAAGCTGATGGGTCAGTAATTCTTTACTCTCAAATATGGGGGTTTCTTGGAAGTCAAACAAATCTAGGTCATATTCGTGCACGTGTTAACAATCTTGCAAAACCCTAAATCTAGGTCATGATTAGTCATTTTCCTTGCCCAAATCTGTTTTCAAATCCAAGATATAGTTAGGCCTATGATCCGCTTAAAACACCAACAATTTGTCAAGGCATCTTTCAAATGTTTCCTTGGGCTGGCATTGATTTCATATGCAGTGTTTCTATGAAATTCCTTCATTATCCTCAGACACTATATCTCAAGAAACCACAACGGTCCCAAAAGATCGGGATCATGTGGATGAGTTTCTGATGTCTTGATCACGAACTCGGTTTTGTACCTGTTTCTTTGGCAACATTATAAACTACAGTCAAAAGTAGAGGGCAATGAAAAATTTCACCACATTGTTTAGAGTTATCTCAATTAGTGTTGCTAAACATAGGACAAATCTCTAGCTCATCTTATAATCATATTCTCTTGACCGAACATTCCATTTTCTGTTACCACCTGTCTCTGGTTATAAGCTTATAAGCATTGTAATTTTTCAGGAATTAAATACTAGATGACAGCATAATGCAGCAACTTTACACTTACCCTCCAATGACATCATTGTTTCAACAACCTGACAATTACCCCCCAATGAAAGAATGCTTAGCCAAGCCTCAAATATAAACATTTACGAAGGTTGTGGCTGCACCTCCACTGACTATTCAAATACGGATAGGTAGAAACAAAACAAATTCTACAATTCAAATATTTCTAACTTTCAAAAGAAAAGGGAGGGAGGGAAAGGAACTAAGATGCAACTTGATGACCCAGTGGAGAAAGTACTGTTCAGTTTTGAGAAAAATGTAGATGATAAAGAGTGGAAAAACATATCCTTCGGGTTACTGGTGCTGAAGGTGACATCAACTTACCACTGGATAATTTATAGGTATATTGAATTACGAGAGAGAGAGAGAGAGAGAGAGATTAATATCTTCAAGAGCAACTCATCTGATACTAGCATCACTCCCTCAGAAACAACAAAAGACGGATCTAAACCCCTTTCATATCTTTCAGTCAACATTGTTATTTTTATATCTTAATTTGCGAACATGAACCACAAAAAGAAGAAGTGCAAAGAGAATTAGAGTGGATAAATATTACAGTCTGCATAGAAACATATAAATAAAAATCTTTAGCTCAAAGGTGCCATCTAAGTCAGACTGCCATAAACATTCTAGTCAAGATGCTCAAATAAACATTTTAGACCATTAAACCTCCAAAGATAGTCAACATCTAAGTAAAATAAATCAGCAACTTAGTTACATGAGAGCTAGATAATCAATCGTTTATGGAACCAATAAAAATAACACACTGAAACATTGTTCATCTCAGAGTCAAGAAATCCCATTAGAACCCGCATAACAAGACAATAAAAATATCGAGCAGTACCTTCATAGGGGTAACATTATACGTAGAGACACCAACTATTGGAGTTGAGCTTTGATTTTCAGCAGTATAAAAAGCAAGTGCACTTTCTCCAGGTTTGACCCTTACCTTCCAGAAATAAAGCAAGAACGTTAGGTAAAGCATCAAAATTGTAGCAAGAACAATAATGCACATTATGAATAAATAAGGGTCAATTTCAGTTTAGTACCCTGAATGTTTACTCAAATGGTTCTCCTCCTCCCCTAATTCTACCCTCGGACTACAACCACCACCCAAACCACCCTCACCAACACCACTCCAACCCCAATCCCACCTAAACGATAAAACCGACACAGCCACCAACCCCTCCTCATCCTCACCCCTACCATCCCACCCCAATCACAACCCCTCCTCCTCACCCTCTCTCCCCTGACCTCTTCCCCTACTCCCACCCCAGTATCTTCTCAGCACGTCCCACCCCAGGGTCCGACCCCCACCCTCCTTTCCACCACAAGAAGATTTGGCCTCCCACACGCCATCGACTAGATCAAAAAATTTGGATCTCACTCTTGTTTTTATTTTGAAAAAATTTTGTGAAAAAATTGGGGATGGTGGTGTTCTCATGATCCACTACCACACAGAAAATTTGGCAAAAGCCTTTTGTTTTGGCTCAGGGAATTTGGGATCAGTGGAGGATGAACGTTTCAAATTTTTTTATTCAGCAACCAAATCAAGGAATCATCCAGACAGAGAGGGTTGGGGTTTGAATTTGGCTGATGGTTATATGGGTTGTGGTTTAGGTAGGGTTGGGGTTGGAGTGGTCACATGCCATTTGGGTGAAAGTTCAGAGTACTAAACTGAAATTGACCTAATGAATAAACATATTGTATGAGAAAAACCTCTCTTTGTGTAGGAATAAACTTCCATTGCATTCCATCAGCCACGTCAGCATTGAACTGAACCACAATCTCCCTGCAGGAGGATATCATATGGAAATATTAATACTCGGATCTTCCTTTAATCCAAGTCATAGAATAATACATATTGGAGAATAACATCTTTTCAGAAAGAAAAAAAAAAAACCAGTATAAGACTAAGGTTTTCATAAGATAGAAACAAAACAAAGGTTCACATAAAAACTTTTGAAGTTGAGTGGAAGTAGCGTATAATTAGGACAGGGGTCATCACCTAGCAATAATTCATTTATTAATATCTTAGGCTAGTGGTGGAGAGGAAAAATCAACAACAGAATAACAAATAACAATTTAATTAACTGTGCAAACATAAGAAGAAGACAATCTACTATAGAAGCAGATAGCAGACCTTGTAGTGACTGTGCCATCCTTAGCATGCCGAGCAATCTTCTGCTCAACACTCTACAGAAAGCAAAACCGCAATGCCTTGGTTGTAATCAATCAAATTGGAGAAAAAACAAACAAACATTAAAGCCCAAATGAGATAAGAGATTCAGACCTCACGACGTTGGACAGTGCCTCCATATCCAGTAGCTTGGCAGAATCTTCTGTAGAGAGGAACAGCTGCATAACTGCTTGCCACCATTGCAAACACCAAACCCATAAGGTACAACAGCATCTTGCGTGATTTCTGTTGTGTGATAGCCTGAGCAGAATAGGGCCGCTGGATTCTCAACAAAGATTGAGAAGCAAATGGAGGAAGCTGACCGCACTTGTCAAATGAGCCTAGCTTGAAGCGCCAAATAGGACTACCGTGGATAAAATGCCTCTGACATGCACTACTACTAGTACTACAACCTCCAATGAAAGGTATGCATCTGAATCATCATTCATCAACAACAAACATTCAACTTTCATGCCAAAGGTAGATGGAATTCACCAAGTTTTCTGCTCTAACAACATTTTCTAAGCAAGCAACATGCCTGGATTCACATGTGATATGCTGTGGGTTCTTGAAGTAAGGCAAGAAGGGAAGGGTTCTTTTACAAACCCTTGACCACGACATGTTTGAAGAGTGCCTGATGTCACTTGATATTCACTACTGGCAGCATATCTGCAAACAAAGAGAAAGTAAACATTAAGAAAATCTTGTGTTCAATGGCATGTCCAAAGAGAAGGAAAACCATTAAATAGACAAAAGGATAATTTCAGGGCAATTTATTGGACTATGTTAGGAAGGAATGACAAAGAACTTCAGAAAACAAGTTCAAGGCTTTAAGCTAATTCATTGGCTCCTACTATTACAGTTTGCAGTTATTAGTAAAATCAATACCCTTACACAGAAAATTAAACAATATTAAACTCATCCTTTATCTCTCTCTGGATGTTTAATCATTTCTTGTAAACTTGTAACTGTGGCAACGCATGAGAGTTTGATAAAAGGTAATAAGTTCAATGGATCCTTACTCACACAGTCACAAACAAAGAAGTGAAACAAAAAGCAATCAGAAACAAACAGAAAGTAAAAAAAAGAAGCAAAACCAGAAGGTAATGAAGATAACAAACCAAATGGGACGCCTGTCTCAAGCTCAGGCTCCTCCTCTTCACCTACCCTGTTGAGGTTGTCGATCGAAATGAAGAATTTTACCGAAAAAGAATCAAACCTAAACACAAAGTAAAAATATTCATAGTAATAAGATAGAAATATTGACACCCAAAAAAAAACCCCCCACAATCCAATTAGGCATCGGGGGAAAAATATATGAGCGAGAGAAAAACCCTAACAAATCCCAACCTAAAAAGAGTGCCCCGTAAAGCTGAAACTTGATAAGGTCCTTGGACATCCGTAAAAACTCTGAAATGGTAAAAGATTGCCATGCCATGACTTTTCAAATGAAACTGCAACGTTCTTTGAGAACTGTATCTGAGGAGAAATTGAAAATGGAGAAGAAAGAATGGCCGGGAAACTGGTTGCTTCTAGCGGGGAAATGGAGAACTTCAGTGACCGCAACGTTCTGCAACCGCTCGAACAAAGCAACGCCGTCTTTTGTTTTGTTTTGGCTTACTGTTTTATCTGACAATATTAACCCCAGAAATAATAGGGTAATTTTAATTGGAAGATATATATATATGGCAGAGAATTAAAATTATTAATTAAATGAGAATAATATAATAAATTCATATTTTTTATATTAAAAAATTAAAATTAAAAACAAAATCAAATAATAGGTCTTATTTTTATGAAACATAACTACTTATATTAATTTTTCTTAATTTTAAAAATAAAATAAAAAATAAAATAAAAAAACCAATTGGCACCTGCACGAGCATGTGCCAAGGGCTAGTCTTTATGAAATAAAATTGAATGAAAAAATCACCAGAATGACTAGGGGTATTAATGTAAAACTAAGAAGAAAAATAAACTGAATCACAACCTACCATGCTAAAAACTCTAGAGAGAGAAATCCATCTATCGAACATTTGTATAGAATATCTATACTATTATAATGCCAGGCCAAATTACAATCCGAACACCATTATAGTTGTGTCATTATCTTGCTTCACAAATTACCTGCTTTCAGTTGCAAACAATTGTCCTCTCTTTCATGGACGAAGCAGAAGCTCCAAGTCCTCCTCCGGTAGTCTCTCTCTCTTGTTATAGGTATAGATATTACCTAATTCGATCGAATTTTTATGAGAATCTGATCATTTGAATTTTTGATAGTTTCTGGAGGTCAAATGTCAGAGTTCAGGCATGAAACGCCGCTTCGCGAGGGGGACAGAGGCAGGTTTTGCAGTCTCACTGATAAACAAGAAATTGGGTTTGGGGGACCCACTTGCTGTGCATATTGAAGCCTTTAAAGAAGGAGAAGAGCCCATCAGTTTTGGACCCAGCTCGGCTCTCGTCGATTATGGCAATGGCTGGAGGTTACAGACCGTTTCCCAAGTGGATTCTTCTGGTAATTGGTTGTTTAATCATTGAAATCAAATTTAGTTATTTTATTGGATTTTGTTAAAAATGGTTGAATTGTGAGTTGTAATGAATTTTGGGTTTTGTTCAAGTATAGGAATTGGAGGTGGACAAGGGGTTGGAAGGCCAATGGCAATGCCACTTCCTGGTGTAATGGTAAAGTTTTCTGTATGTTTTGTTTGTGTAAGTTTAGCGGGTTGAGAATTTTGTTTTGAGATTTAAAGCATAGATGAGTTTGAACTGGACATTTGTTTGTAGTGGTTCCTAAAGGAAAATGTTTTCTTAATCAAAATTGATTGATGAATGGATTCAGTCGATTTATTATTATGATTAGTGAAGCCTGTGATGACTTTATGGAATTTTCTAGTCAAGATAGACATTTCATAGGAAGAAAACCTGGGACTAAAACCAAGATTAGACAGTTCCAGTGGGTCTTATTTGGAAGCTCAATTTCCAGGGCTCATTAGGAAGGAAAAAATTAGAGTGGTCATAAGGAATGTCACAAGGAGTATAACGATAAATCGATATATCTCCACGAATTAGTTTTGACTCTTGAATTCAAGCTCAGTAGTGTCATCAAAGTTGCTTAGGAAACCTAAATAAATAATACAAGGAAGGAGATGCAGTGTGAAAATCCTTTTATGGAGCATTTATAACGGTAATGAACTGCTATTTGGTTGGTCTAAGAAAATGCTTGGAACTGTGATCGTGAACAAGCAAAAAATAGCAATAATAAAAATAAAGAAAAAGGAAGATTTAGAAGCATCTTAAAAGTTCATTAGTCACAGAGCAAAATTTAAATGCAAGAACTGAGTTCATACAGGAACATTCTTAGGTTTTTTAGGTTTTAGACATAAAAAAAAATTCACTTTTGGAAAAAGCCAAAGCTTTTTCAAAAAAGACAAAAAAACCACTCAACTTTCAAATCAAAGACATGCAAATGTATTGGATTCCTCAGGAAATCTAAAAATAAATAAGGGCATTTTTGTCTATTTTTGCTTCTTTTAAAATTTTTCTCTCTCCTTTTGCTTTTTCCAAAATGTCCTAGGAGCATCTTGTTTATGTTCCAGAAATCATCTATTGGAAGAAGGCTTTCAATAGTAAAAGCAGACTAGGTCAATAAAAACCGAGCTAGCCACTTTTCGGTGCAGTGTTCAAAAGTTATTGATGACATTGACTTATGCAGACAAAATATCCTGCCAAACATGTTCATAAACATGTTTTAACGGTTTTACCAACTGGTTTGTATAAACTTTAGGTTTCTAAATAACTGTTACCTTCCTGGATATGTAAGATAAGATTGCTATACTTAGAGGCTTCAATATGAATATAAATCACTAGGCTTGTGTTCACCAATACTTGAAAACCTTCACGGAGCTTCTCCAGTAGACTTCTTCACAACATGACTGGAGACACTATACTAACAACACAAGTTTGCAAATCTTTAAGTAAACATGCTCTTTTAGTGCAGAAGATACTTAAAGATAGTATTGCAATGTCTAATTAGCAAATTTAGTTCATTTTAGAAGTAGATTACATGACTTTTGACTTCAACACTGAGTCATTTTAGAGTTAGACCTGCTAGGCTGCTACAATCTAATAAATTATTATTTTTCACTGACTATTTTCAACTGCATCTCATGCATTAACACACAGACTTTATCAGACAAGTACCTCATGTTCCTATGCTTTTTGCTTAGGCGATAAAAGCTCTAGTAAACTCATCTTACCTACAAATGGTTTTCTCACCAGGCCTCAAAGCCTCACTGAGTGCCTTTGACAACACTGATTAAGTTTTTGTTAAGTGATCATGATGCCATGAAATCTACTATTACATTTCTCCTCATGGAGAAAAACTTCATTGTGATGTTGATGAGTGAAAAATTGTGCTTGAAGGTTTTGGACATTATCTACTGGAAGATTTGAGTGGGGTTGCTAGACCCAGAAGTTTGTTTATGTAGTTTTGTTTTTTAGCTTCGGCTCCCTTAGAACCCTAAAAAAATAAAAAAAAATAAAAAATGTGCTTGCACATTGGAATGAGTTGGTTTTGTTCTAGATCTAATTATATTTTCTTTTTAACTTTTTGTTCCAAGAAAAGTAAATCTACAATGTAAAATGTTTTTAACAAGTATATCTGCTGATTTACAGTAATGTATTGCCTTTGAGTGGGTGAGATTGGCCTTCCCTAAGATTGAAATTTCTCTTTACCAATTGTTAAAATTTTTGCTCGTATTAATTTATATTTCTGTTTCTTTTTTTTCTTTTTTTTGTAGCGTTCCGACAAGTTACATGTTGCAAAGAGGGTATCGAAACCAGAAATCAATTTTTTGTACATTGGAAAAATAATATTAGCTTTCATTTTGATTTTTGTACTTGGTGCAATTTTCACGTTGGCTCTTGAGAACCTTCCTAGACTGATTTCTTTTTTCAGTTTATCTATGTAATTTATTTTGTTCTTTGAACACTGTAAAAGATAATTAATATATGTCAATGTCTTATGTAAACGAAAAACAGGAAAGGAGAAATTCTTTCCAATCTGTATGCTCTCCAACATAATGTATGATGTATCGTTTGTGTACTTATTGCATCAGTCGTTATGACAACTGTTAATTATTTTTATTGGGTATAATCATCTGTTAATTACACCTTCACATGATGTGGTCAAATAATGTAGTAAGAAAGCGCAAATGTCTAGCATTGCTCCATCAAAAAAAGAAACTTGAGCAACGTTAAAAATTTCTCCTAATCATCTTTATTATGAACTATACTTGAAAAATCCAGGACCGATGCTCGGCTGAACGGTTGAGTTTCGACAGCATGTTACCAAACGAATGTGTTTGTTTCTGCAAGTAGTGAGGGAGCCAAAAAAATTCATAAACTTGAACTAAAATTTGTTAACAGTTCTTGGAAGTCACTTTGACAAAGTGTTCAGACTCAACGTACTGAATGTTTTAAAACCAGTTTCACCCAGAACCACCAAACAGGGAGCTGCGGAATTCTGAACCTTGACTTGTGTTCGGCAATTCTCTGCCGAATGCGTAGAGCATTGTGGCACAAACTTTTACAGTTAAATTCAGCCGTCAACCATCAGCTATCAGCTGGCGCATAGTAAAACTTTTAAAAACGCAAAATGTATTTTGCAGCCGCAACAAGAGACTTCTACTAGAAGCAGTGGTGTCGCAACAGATAACACGCTTTGGACAGCACAGATGCATTCATAACTAATGTGTTAGATTTCTATATAATGTCCATGATCTTTCACACAACTTGAAATACATAGAAGACATACCTAACGACATATTCCTTGAGTACACGATCTCTAAACTCATTCAATTGCAACAGTAGCAGCAACTCTAGCAAAAGACACGAACAACTCAAGACTTTTGCTCTATCTAAAAAACTGTTTCAGCTCTTTCTTAATTATGAGATTAGGTTAGAGAACATGTATGATGAGAGCAAGGTCTTAAGCTTATATAGGGATAGGTCAAGGCATCTCTACTCATCATCAAGACCCGACTTGACTAACACTCTAAGCCCATCAAGCAACGGTTCATGCAAAAGGAAATAGGACCCTTAAACTCTTATCAAACCTGATATAACTTAGTATCTAGTACACCGATCTAAATAGGAATATAACATTCTTCTACTAGATTAAGCACTAAGCTTCTGTATTGCAAAAGTTTGATAATCTTTAAAGCAGTTAAGTCCTTCCCTTCAAGCAACAGTGAAAAGCGATTAGACAAAACGAACTATAGACAAGCACTACTCTCCCTTATCAAAAACAGGTCATCTGTAATCACATAATGCAATCTCAAAACACATGAAGCACCTACAAACGTGAACCTTAACATGTACTGATCCGTAATGTTATTAAAATAATAGTATCTCAAAGTGATCATAAACTCACATACATAAACAACATGCATAATAAGTTTAAACACCTAAATAGTAAAAATGGTAGAAATTATTCAATAATCAAAACTGCCAACCAAATTAACATCCTTAAATGCAAATCCCTTAATCCAAAAAAACAACAAAATTAGACATACTAGAAAACTATCAGAATGGGAAACAAGACTCCCACTAGATTGCAGCATCATAGCTAGGAAGTAATCTCATGCTCTCAACATGTCTCAGAAACTTTTTTGAAGGCATAAACTTTGTAAACGGATCTGCAGTCATATCTTGAGTTCTGATATGATCAAACTGTTAATTCCTTAAAGCCATAACATGTTTAACACTAACCTGAGTCTGACATGGTGCTGGCGCAGATTGGATGATGCTGGAACAGATTGGCAGTGCAAGGTATAGAAGTTCTTCTCCTGAGAATCCGATCCTTATAGCTATAACTCTGATGGGTGAATTTCTGTTTAGCTGTGTTGTGTTATTCGGATCTAGGAGGGAGCCTTCTATTTATATGCATCTCTCTAAGTGTCTTGCCCATCAAGAAACACTTAGAGATATCCTTCATGCTATAGGATTAATCCATTCCAATCCTTGTAGAACTAGGAACCCTTAAGCCTTCATTATCCTTATTGAACACTGTTTGAGGCTTGCCTAATCGAGATAGGTTTTGAGTTCCTAATAAACAATAAGTCTTTGTAATCCTAAGTTGATTAGAAGATCACTTTAGTAGGTTTAATGTAATAAACCTTCTTACAT